CCACCTGATGGACACCGCCCCCATGAAAACCGCCCCGGGTCGCTTCCCCCTCTTCCATTTCAAGCACTCCCCGCCCCACACGCCCCCAGCCGGCGCCCACATGTGCTACGACACCGCTGCCTTGAGCCTGTCCATGGCCCCGGAAAGGCCTGCCGCCGGCCAAGCCGCGATGGAGAGCCACCCCTACGGGCTGCCCCTGGCCAAGAGGGCGGCCGCCCTGGCCTTCTCGCCGCTGGGCCTGAACCCACCCCCCTCTGGTCTCCTGGGCGAGAGCGGTGGCGGCAGCGGCCTCCCCTCACCCCCTAGCAGAAGCTCCTCCTCGGGGGAGGGCACCTGTGCCGTGTGCGGGGACAACGCGGCCTGCCAGCACTACGGGGTACGCACCTGCGAGGGCTGCAAAGGATTCTTCAAGGTAAGAACCAGAGGCTCTCTCTCGGGCCCACCTGCTCCCCCGCTGGTCCCACTGGGATTTCAGAGGCCTCCAGTCCAGTTAGCCGGCACCACATCCTAGGGAAACGCATGCGCAGGGCCAGGGCCAGTGTTCGTTGAGTTGGGGCTGCTGCCAGGGCCCGGGGCTCCAGATGGGGCCTCCTGCTGCCGATCCCCCCCTGCCCCCGCTTTTCCCCAACCCTCTCCCTTGTCGGTGCTCTGCCATCACTGCTCCTTGGTGTACCTACTGCCCAGCAGCCTCTGGGGGAAGCAGGCGATGCGCGGCAGCCACGATTGTGGCAGAGGCTGTGGTGCCCATGCGGCTGGAGGGATGACAGGCAGGTAGGCGTGAGCATGGGCAGCAAGAGGGCTTGTAACTTGGGGGGCACGTGGGCGGAGGCAGGGAGGGGCCTCCTGGGCGGACAGCCAGGGCTCCCCAAAACTTGGAACCAGCCCTGCACGTGTATCGCTACTCGAAGTCCCGTTGCTTTGAGGGAGAGCCCTATTGTCTTGTGCCTGCCCGCCCCCCATCCTGTCACCACTGCAGCGTTCCCTCTAAGCTGAGTCAGTGTGAGCCATCTCACAGCTTTTTTAGCCTCCAGCTCACACATTTTTGTCTCCGCTTGGGAAGGAGGGCTCCAGAGCAAACTAAGTGACGCAGCAGCTGAATCGCCCGCTCACAACTTTAGTAGCTCCCAAAGTAGAATGTTTGCTCACAGGACTCCACAGCCGAGAGGGAGCATGGGTCCCCAGTGTCGTACAGCTTGTCACCTTCGCTGAGGTAGTTGAGCTAGAGTTCCTAGCATGTTCTTTTCTGACACAGTCAGCCACGTTACACTTTTATAGCTTTACAGGCAATCTGTGTTCTGCTCTTGGGAGGGGCCGTGGTTCAGTGGTAGAACATTTGCTTGGCATGCAGAAGGTCACAGGTTCAGTCCCTGTCGTGCGTCGTCAAAAGGGCCAGGCAGTAAGTAACGTGAAAGCAGGGGCGGATGAAGACTCACTTGTGTCCTAAGCACTGACCAATCTTGGTGGGCCCCCCCCTCCTCTCCACACTGACCCAGTCCATTTTAGTGGTTGACCTGTCTGACCAGATAGACCAGTGATGGCAAACCTTTTAGAGACCGAGTGCCCAAACAGCGACCCAAAACCCACTTATTTATCTCAAAGTGCCAACACGGATATTTAACCTGAATTCTGACGCAATATACTGTACAAACGAAGCTTTTCGCCCTTTCCCCAACTTTGTGGTGCCCCCTTTGGCCTGATGACCTAAGCACGTGCCTAGTCTTCTTCACGGTTAATCTGCCCTGAAAGACCTCTGATTGAGACCGTGGAGAGGTGCTGCCAATCTGAATAGTCAGTACTGACCTCGATGGACCCAGGGCAACTTCATGTGTTCAAGTTTAGGGACTGCCTAGCAGGGGTAGCTTAATCGGAGGCACGAGAGAGAGAGCAGTTCCGGGTCTGGCCTGCTCACCAGTGCCACCACCTTATTTTATTTATTTACCCACTTTATTTACGTTCCTCCTTTCCCCCCAACTCCTGCCAACCCAGCAGTTCGAAGTTAATCTGCCCCTGAGTGAAAGACCTCTGCTTGAGACCGTGGAGAGGTTCTGCCAATCTAAATAGTCAGTACCGACCTCGCTGGACCCAGGGCGGCTTCATGTGTTCAAGTGTGCATTTAGGGACTGCCTAGCAGGGATAGCTTAATCGGAGGCACCAGTGGTGAGAGAGAGAGCAGTTCCGGGTCTGGCCTGCTCACCGGCGCCACCGCCTTATTTTATGGATTTAGCCACTTTATTGACGTTCCTCCTTTCCCCCCAAAGGGGCTGACACAATTCTCCTCTCCTCCGTTAACAATGACAACCCTGTGAGGTAGGTTAGGCTGAGCGTGTGCGACTGGTCTGAGGTCACCCAGCGAGCTTCCGCGGGCTTTTCCCAGGTCCTGCTAGACCATGCCGGCTGTCCAGGAATAAATCAGTAAATTCCTCTTCCCCTTTTCAGTAAAGGAGAATGTCAGTCGCTTCTTTTGTTTCTGAAAGGAAGCGTGAAATCCGTCACCCCCACAGCCGCTTTGTGACTTCAGTGGACAAACAGAAAAGGGACAGGCAGAGCGTGGCTGTAGAAGGACGATTAGTCGGGAGGAGTTTGAGAAAGGTGGCTTGGGGGGACTGAAAGAGGGGTAAATTCGCCCAGGTCACAGGAAGCGTTGCCTAACTTGGTGTTCTTCACTGTCCAGGGTAGCTTTGTGCCTAGTGGAGCCAGCTCTTTGCCCTTGAAGAACGCCTTTGGAGCTAAATACGACTCACTGTTGAGATGCGTGGTAGTCTCTGGGGGCAGCAGATTAACAGGCCCGCTCTTCTGGAATCGAGCGCCCTGGCCGTTTGAGTTCTGCGGACAGCTTGCCGTCCCGTTTGCCGTTTACACCCCTGTGCTTTGGACATCCCTGCGTTATTTTAAAAATACGTTATTTTATTTTTTTGCTTTGAACATCAGCGTCGCATTTGAGCAGCAGAGCAGCTAGACGTGTGCGGATGTTCTGGGTTCAAATCCCACTGCAGCCGTAAACAATCTCTCCAGTACATTTCTATCCTGTGTTTTCTCCAAGGTGCTGAGGAGGCAACATTCGTGCCCCTCCCCATTTGGTCTCTGCGAGGTAGTTCAGGCTAAGGGAACATGGCTAGCTGGAGGACTCTCTCAGCAAGCTACCGTGGCAGATTGGGGGTCTGAATGCAGGTCTCCCAATGTTCGAACCGCTACACTCGAGTGTAGATAGGCAGCTTTAAGCACACTTTGTTTCGGCTTCTCCCTGCCATCATGCTGTATGGGGATAATAAGACTGATCAGCCTTCGTAGCATCGTTCTAAAGGCTGCTGAACAGGGTTCCCTCTAAGCTGAGTTAGTGTGAGCTAGCTCACAGTTCTTTAGCCTCGGGCTCACACATTTTTGCCTTAGCTTAGGAAGGATGGCTCCAGAGCAAACTAATTTATGCAGTGGCCAAATTGCTGGCTCACAACTTTAATGCCAGGAGCTTACAAAGGGGAATTTTTGCAGTAGCCAAATTGCTGGCTCACAACTTTAATGCCAGGAGCTCAGAAAGTAGAATTTTTGCTCACAAGACTCCACAGCTTATAGGGAGCATTGCTGCTGAGATAAATTATAGGACGTGCTCCGAGCAGTGTCCCTTTGTGGTTCACAGGTGAGAGAGGAAACTGAGCCAGTGAGGCGCACTGTGTTCTGAGTATTGGGCTGGGGAGACCCAACTTATGGGACACCCCGGGCCAGCCCCTCTTGCTCAACCTGGCCTACCATGTAGGGTTATCGTGGAGATAAAAGGAGAACCGTGTACTCCACTCTGAGTTCCCTGGAAGGAGGGAAGGAGAGAAATGTAGGAGGGAGGGAACGGTGTCGTGTGCATCCTCCCTAGTGAAATGCCAACACACCTAATTTTTCCTTTGAGGAAAGAGCACAATTCTTCCGGAGTCCTCCTGCGCATGCCCTGTCGCTATGAAACAGAGCCACGCGTACTTCCGTTCGTCTCAGTGGGGCTTGTGCGAGTGGACTTCCGGATTACGTGTGCCTATGGCTCTGCTGCCACTGAAAGGAATGGGTGCTTTCCTATGGGCTTTAGTAGCAGAAAAGCGCAAGAGTCCAGGAGCACCTTAAAAACTAACAAAAGTTTGTGGCAGGGGATGAGCCGGTCCCCGGCCACCAATTTTGTTGCTCTTTAAGGCGCTCCTGGACTCTTGCTCTTCTCTGCTGCTACAGGTAGACTAATATGGCTACCCATCGTGATCTATGGCCTTGAACAGTATTTAATAGTACTGACTATTGCTTTTAGTACTAGTTTAATCTTTATGTTATGCAGTACTACAATTGCAGTGCATTTATCAATGTTTACAATTTCAGTGGCCAAATTCCCTGCCTCTGCTGTTCCCCAAAAAATCTTTTATAGTTTTCTGGGGCTAGGGCCTGGCCCCATATTATATATTTTTTAAAAAAGATTCCCAGATCTTACATGCAGTTTTCAGGTTATGATATAATGTGACTTTATATATTCTTTAAAAATGCATTAACAGCATCATAAATTATTATTTGTACAAATGTCCCTTTTGTTCGTATAAGCTTTTGATTTTTGGTGTTTCAACCCTGAGCATACCTGTTTTGCTAATCATTACTGAATCTGCCTTGTGAGTTTAATTTCAAAGTCACCGCATGCAAAACATCCCATAAACCTTCCAATGAACAAAACCTGGACACAACTCAGCCACTGTTGAGCAGTTTTAAATCCAGTTGATTTAAATGGGAATTATCTGAACAGGTCCTGAATTGCAACAAAAAACTGATCTGAAAAGAGCATAACTTGTGGCGGATCGTGTCCCCCTTCGTTTCTGTATCCTTGTGGATTGTGGCTGTAGTCTTAGGGCCTCTTTCCTGGGAGTGAATCCCAATGAATAAAACGAGGCTTACTTCTGAGTAGACTTGCTTAGAATTGCTCCCTGTGGTTCTTAAAAATCACTGTACAAGATATTGTTATAGACTGAAAAAGTACCTTGTACCTTTATATTTTGCATCATATTGTATGCATATATTTGTGAGTGTGTACACAGACACACACACATACATTTATTTCCATATCCACTTTTTAAAAGCTGTTTTTCATTATCTTCTCAGTGGTTTGCTTTTCTTCATTTTTTTTTTAAATTCCCTTTTGCTGATCCTAACTATGAGTGAAACCAATTTATTTTGATATCCAGCAATAATGATAGCTAAACAATCAATCTTCAGGATTTTGATTTTATTTTAATAAGGTCAGCAATAATCAGGGGAATGAACCAAGTCGAAAATTGTTCCCAAAGGAATATTAAAAGCCGAGCTAATCTAATCCCCAAAGGTACAATGCGATGACCTGGTAATTTCAGATACGATTTTGATCAGCGAGCAGGCGGCTGTCTCCCGAGCGTGGCTTCGGAACCGTCCTCAATGATTCCCGTTGTCAGTCTCTAACACTAATAAAATTGTTTTTTCCTGGAGGCGAGCATGTTAGGAAATTAATTTTATCTAATTATTCGAATTGCACTGTCGCTTCTCACGTGTTAATTAAAATGCAACTTGTCAGAACCCAGCTTCCTCGCACTGACTCTTTTCTTGCGCTGTTGTTTTCTTCAGAGGACAGTTCAGAAAAATGCAAAATACGTTTGCCTGGCTAATAAAAACTGCCCCGTGGACAAGCGCCGTCGAAACAGATGTCAATACTGCCGATTTCAGAAGTGTCTCAGCGTCGGCATGGTGAAGGAAGGTAAAGAGCTCAGCTATTATTAGCCTGCACCTCCCGCTCCCTGAAATGGCTGGGGTCTGAAGGGGGGGACGACAACTCATTCGAATGCTGTCTTTTAGAAATCACAATGCATGTCCTCGTTCTTAACCACTCCGCATTGTGGCAGTGCCTTTCTGGTGTATGCAGGATCTCTTTATTCCAGACAACAACGTGATTGTGCAGAGCATCAAACTGGGAAGCAAAACTTTTTTTTAAAGGCAGGCTTTGCCATATTCTGTCTTGGGGAGGGGGAGGGTTGTATCGCAGGTCACCTTGCCTGCCCAGGTCCTATCCTGACCCTACCAACCCGAATGCAAATATTGCCACTTAACTTCCACCTAAAAAGCATTAAGCACACATTTAATCACCATACAAATAAATGGTAATGCTTGTGATTTCTTAGAGCATGTCAGCTTTTAACTGTTTTAATACATCAGTCAACTAAAGCTTTAGATTATTAATCAAAGGGGCCAGTTGTGTGTGTTTTTTTAAAAAAAAAGCTGTTGTGTTTTGGTCTTGATGTTTTGTTGTGAGAGATTAACAAAGAAAATATGAAAGATATTTCCATTTGAGCATAAGTAATAGCTGTTTTTTCTGCATTGTATCTTACTGCATGCTTCATTCATTATATCACATATCAGGTTTGATATGATACACATTTATTTAAATATAATTTATAACTGAAACAGTTAAGAAACAAATGATTAACTGCATTTATCGTTCAATTCTATGTAGTTACTCCAGTCAGTCTAAGCCTTTTGAAATCAATTAGCTTAGGCTGGTATAACTCTTCATAGGATTGCACTGTTAATTAATTTTAACTATTGAATCTTTCAAATGGGTAATATTAACCCTTTCTCTCTCTCTCTCTTTTTAAAAAATTTTAAAGGAAGATGTTTTGGAGAATTTCTCTTGATTTCTCAGGGAATGAGTTGCAATGCTAACCCATATTTTCCAGCCAATCTTCTGATAAATTATGGGCTGCTCTAGACTTTTCGGTGGGCCTTCATGAATATTCCATGTTGCTTTCATACATGCATGTCCATTATATTTGTCTGCAAATTGCAAGTAGGTTTTCTTTGAGCAGATCTGATGTGCGTGTATAAAATACACACACGCAGAGGCCTAAATTGTGGGAAGCTCATGCGGAACATCTAGGAAATGCTTCTGCTGAACAGAAAAACAGAACATCATAATCTGGAACTGGGGCCTTTAGTCAATTGCTACCAAGGAGCACGAAAACACGGAATTCCTAATGTTTGTGTGTGCCTGCAAAATGAATGATTCCGCCAGTGACGTGCCTGTTTAGGAAAATAAGGCCGTTGTGTCTGTATTTATTGCCTTGTGGGAGTCCCAGCTGAGCTGGTGACCCTCCAGTGCTGGTCAGTGCTGTGTAGGAATTGAGCCCCCCCAAAGACTGATGGCCTCTCCCCCTTTTGCCTTCCTCCACCAGTTGTCCGCACCGACAGTCTAAAAGGGAGACGAGGCCGCCTGCCTTCCAAACCAAAGAGCCCACTACAGCAGGAACCACCCCAGCCCTCCCCACCATCTCCTCCTGCCAGCATGGTGAACGCCCTCGTGCGAGCTTTATCCGATTCGGCGCCCAGAGAACTTGACTACTCCAGGGTAGGTGTTGGTGATTTTCCTGCACAACTGGAATTCTAGTGTTTATAGCTTTTCTGGGGTTAACATCACCGAGACCCCATACGCACAGTGCGGCGGGCTTTCAAGTGTAGCCCCTTGGGTGGGTGTTGCATTTCTGGCTTCAGCATGGGGTGGTCCTTAATGAGTGGCGTCTGTTTAATCTGTCTCTTAAGCTGCCCAGGGCTTGGAGCTCTCCTGGAGTTATAACTGGTCTCCAGAGTAAGGGGATCAACTTCCCCTGGAGAAAATGGCTTGTGGGGGGGGCTCCATGGCATTAAATCCTGCTGAGGACCCTGGGCTATACCCCCAAATCTCCAGGGATTTCCCAGCCTGGAGTTGGCAACCCTGGGTACTGCAGGTGGAGAACTTGATCCATTTTTCTCTCTGTCGTGATGTTGGCCTCGCCCTCGTGCTCCAAGGTTGCATTGACCCGTGCCAGATGTGGTATGGAGGCCTTTTGTGTTTTCTAGCCTGGCAATTCCATTTTGTTCCAGAGGTCGGCCAGTGCAGAGGGTTTTGAAATGGTGAGAGTGTGGCAGCAGGATTCCATGATCTTTTTAGGTTGTGTTTTGCAAATTCAGTTACACGCTGCAATTCCCTTTACAGGGAATTACTTCTGAGTAGGCACGCAGAGGATCAGGTTGCAGGCCTTTGCCTTTTTGAGTAGAAATAAACCCCATTATAGCCACCTGGATCTACCCATTAAAGCCAGTTAGTTAACGTTGTTAGGTATGAAGTGTATGGAGTCTGAGTTTCAGTCTTCGACAAAACCACTAAGCACTTTTGGGAGCCCAGCTTTGTCAACAGAAGTTGAGATGTTGCTAGAGATTCCGTTGAGGTCAGCCCTGGGACCAAAGTCCTTCCCTCCAAATGAGAAGTTATTTACATACGGAGCAAACCACTCATATTTTACATTTTTATTGGAACTCTGTTTGGGGTATCTTTGTATGTTGATTTTATTTAACATGCAGATGGAGCGTTTTGTATTCTGGAGCACTGAATTCCAAAATGTCCAATAATATTTAATATTTAAAACTGCATTTCGCGGGGTGGGGGAGAGGAAAGGATTTCTCCTATCTTAGTAATATTCCCTAAGTGGAAATAAACTCAGGAGGACCTATTTCTCAGTAAGCTCATGACAGGCAAATGCACCAGATACGTTTTTGTATCTATTAACTTATCATGACTTATTTCTCATGTTGTTGTTCGTACCTGTTCTGTTCATTTCAATGAAACATATGCAAAAGTTCTTGGCGAATACTGTTTTTGGTGCAGAGTAATTCAGGATTTAGCATTTTAGATTTCACTGGGAAAGGAGTTTTGTTGTCCCAGTGAAAATGGTGTTTGTGGCTTTCTGCCTAATTCTGCCTGCATATGTTGCCAGGGAAATTAACCCATTTGCACGGTGGTGTATCCAGGGAAATGAGTAAGGATACCATATGTGCTTAGGTTTTGAATACTAACATGAAAATCTATAGATTTTATGGAAAGTGTTTGGGGGGGATCTTGTTATGGGTTCTGAAATTGTTAAAAGAAACTGTACTAAAACTAGGCAATGCAAGTCCTGCTTAGATTATTGTTGTTACACCAAAATGGTGGATCTTAATGGTAAAGGTGTAGAGAGAAGTTATGAAAAAGTGAAGTGGTTGGTAAAAATTATTTCAGATTCGAAGGAGCTGTGCTTCAGTACTTGAGGTTGACCTTAGTTTACAAACTTTAGTAAGAAGCATAGCTTTAGTAGTGTTGCAGTGTGATATATAGATATTGTAAATAATTGAGGAAGGAATTTAATAATTTTACTTCGGCAAAATATGGTGTGCTTTCCCTAATTCTGTGTCTGTGCCAGATAAACACAGGTTTCCTGAGTAAGAGCCGGGTCTTTCAGTGTGTTTCATAGGCAGGTGTGCCCCTCTCACACCAACTGCAGTACAGAACCAAGGCCTCCCAAATTTCATATAAACCTAGTCTATCACCATCAGAATATACTAACCAGAACTCTGACCCGGAACCTTCTTCCGGGACGACGCAACACCTAGGGAGCATCAAGTCCTGCTTGGATTATTCTGGCTTGTTGGTACTCTGTTTTTTAGAGCTGGTATTAATTTACGAGCCCATAGTAACTGTATATTTAGAAACATGCTTTCAAAAAGCAGTCGCTAGGAGGAGACTCTCTAAAGGGCATAGGCCTAATTCGGGTCTCCCACCTGTTTTTGTGCTGGTGCAGTTCCTCTCCAGACGCGGGCCATGCAAGGGAAATGTGAGTAGATCTTCAAACATAACAATTCTCTGTTCGGGCAAAACCCGGATTGATATCAGAGAGAATTCTACCTTGTTCGGTGATGTGGAGTGTCGGGTGGGGAGAAACAAAAACCAAGCAAACCGCAAAGCTCTCTTTAGGACCGAATAAGATGTTGTAATGTAGGAGACACATAGATTTCCAGCCCCATTTTTTCCCTCTCAATGCAGCAAGAGGGACATTTGCAGTGTAGAATCAGGGGGCAAGAGGTGTTTAACCCTCCCTTTTCTGGCTAATTCTCTCTTATTAATCTCTGCTCCCCCAGTGGGGTGTCTAGGGTGTGGCATATTCAGGGAAGATTTCGTAGGCAGAAGAAGGGTTAAGCATTCCCTTCTGGTCATGGATTCTCCTCTGTACCTCCGTTCTATGCTTGCAATTCCGGCTGAATTGGTTAATTTGGGGATGATGTGATACACTTGCAAAGATAACGTCTGCTAACTCTTTAACGCAATGGTTAGACCAAACGCCCCTCATTTCGTTAGCCCGGACAAAAATATCCCTGGGACGAAAGAGAAGGTTTGTGCTTCATTAAGGACTGTTATAAAACATGGTTAACAAAGCCGTTTGAGGACTAAGTGGCCGCTCCTATTTCCATTTTAAAACAATCTTTTAAAAAAATCACGAATAAACTCCCAGACAGAGGGGCACAGGTGGTGTCATATGTCAGAGCCAAAGTTCCCCTGATGTGAAGGTTGTTGAGGTCCCCAACGGGGATTGGGGTCGTGGCCCTAAGGAAGGGCTGGGGGGGGGTTAACCCTGTGCCATGAAAATGGCCCCTCAGGGGCAACGCTCCCTCTAAGCTGTGGAGTCTTGTGAGCAAAAATTCTACTTTGTGAGCTACTGGCATTAAAGTTGTGAGCTACTGAATAAATTAGTTTGCTCTGGAGCCCTCCTTCCTGAGCCAAGACAAAAATCTGTGAGCTGGAAGCTAAAAAAACTGTGAGCTAGCTCACACTCACTCAGCTTAGAGGGAACACTGCTAGGGGTGCTTTAAGTCCCTGGCAGGAAAAGAAGATGGTATAATAATCTACACTACTTGGATCCTTTTCCCTGCTGGGTCTTAAGAAAGCCCGACGGGGGGAGGAGTAAACCCCCCTCTTGACTGTGCCATGATCCCAGTCCCAAGGAGGCCAACCCTTAGCTTCTGGCTAGGGCGAGGCCGCACACGAGCAGTGTGCTCCTGTAGAGAGTCCTCCCAATGGAAGATCGTTGAAGTGAGTCCCTGCAGAGTCCCTTTGCCTGGCCTTTCACCGTGAAGAGTTCCAGCCTCCTCTCGTGGTGTTTGGGCCTCTATTTCCTTGTCGGCGTGAGGGGACGAGCGCCACCCATCCCCAACGTTTCTGTGGTGGGAACCAAATTCATTCAACAGCTTATTTATTTATTATTTAACAGTGCCGTCAAGTCGCAGCCGACTTACAGAGACCCGGTAGGGTTTTCAAGGCGAGAGGTGTTCAGAGGTGGTTTGCCGTTGCCTGCCCCTGCGTAGCAACCCTGGTATTTCGTGGTGGTCTCCCATCCAAATACTGACCCAGGCCAACCCTGCTTAGCTTCCCGAGCCCTGGCCCCCGCCTGATGGAATGAGCTCCCGTATGAGATTAGGGCGCTGTGGGATTTATTACAATTCCGCAGGGCCTGTAAGACGGAGCTCTTCCACCGGGCTTTTAGTTGAGGCAGCTGGTATTTCTTGGTGGTCTCCCATCCAAATACTGACCCAGGCCAACCCTGCTTAGCTTTCCGAGCCCTGGCCCCCGCCTGATGGAATGAGCTCCCATATGAGATTAGGGCCCTGTGGGATTTATTACAATTCCACGGGGCCTGTAAAACAGAGCTCTTCCACCGGGCTTTTAGTTGAGGCAGCTAGTATTTCTTGGTGGTCTCCCATCCAATACTGACCCAGGCCAACCCTGCTTAGCTTCCCGAGCCCTGGCCCCCACCTGGTGGAAGGAGCTCCCATATGAGATTAGGGCCCTATGGGATTTATTACAATTCCGCAGGGCCTGTAAGACGGAGCTCTTCCACCGGGCTTTTAGTTGAGGGAGCGGACGTCCCCGTCCCCCCCTTTCTGGTTGGCCTCCCATCAGTGGCCTGGATTCGAATAGCCATCAGGGATCCCACACTCCTGTCCCATCTTAATCGCCGAGACATCTGATCAGCGTAGACACGGTTCTAATCTGTTGTTTTAAAGTGGTTTTTAATTGTGTTGTGTCTTGCTTTAATATTGATGGAACCCACCCTGAGCCTGCTTGTGGGAAGGGCGGGATACGGGTCCAATCAAATAAAAATAAAAATAAATAAACGAGATTGGAGTAGCCTGGGCAATCCAGGTCAGGGCGAAGGGGTAGTGGAAAGTGCTATGAAGTCATAGCTGGTTTAGGGAGACCCTGTAGGGTTTCCAAGGCGAGAGATGTCCAGAGATGGTTTGCCATTGCCTGCCTCTGCATAGCAATCCTGGACTTCCTTGGAGGTAGGGTTGCCAAGTCTTACCTTTAGCTGGAGCGGGGGACTCCCGGATGTTTCCCGGAATGCGCGCACCACAACCACATCACCCGGAAGTGACGTGATCACGCTGGGGGCGGGGGCACGACCATCCGAGGGAAAACCATAAAGTTTTCCCTCGGATGACCGTGGCCCAACCCCCAGCATGCCCAGTGTGGTCGCATCACTTCCAAGTGACGTACACGTCACG